GTCTGTCGTACAGGTGCTCGTGGCCGGGCTGTGGATACAAGGGTCTGACGAAACAGCAGCTCGAGAATCACGTGCGTAACCACACCGGGGAGAAGCCGTTCGTGTGTTCGTGGCCCGGATGCGACTCGCGGTTCACCACTGCCGACGGTCTTCGTTACCACAAGAAGTCTCACTCGAATGTGCGGCCATTCAAGTGTGATTGGCCCGGCTGTGACGGCGCCTTCAAGCGGAACCGGGCGCTCACCGTTCATAAGGCCTTACATACGGGCGACAAAGTGTTCAAATGTCTGTCTCTTTTCCCTCTCGAGTCCGCAACTCATTCTCGTTATCGGCTTTACAGGCGATTGGAGTGGCTGTCAGTTCCGGGCGTCGAGATATCACGATCTGGCCGTTCACAAGATTCTGCACACCGGCGAGAAGAAGTACCGGTGCAGTTGGCCCGGTATGTATGATTGGGAGGCAGTTGTTTAGATGATTTGAATGATTGTCTCATTGGTCGACAGGCTGTGAGTCGCGATTCCTGCGGAACGACAAATTGCAGTTACATTTGATGATCCATAGGGGAGACAAACCACACAAATGTCCGTTTGTCGGCTGCGAGAAGCGGTTCGTCGAGAAGGGAAATATGCGCAAACACTTCAATAGCGTCCACTCCAAGGCCTGACTTCGCCACAATCGCGAGCACTGGGCGGCCAGGGATGGAGTGATCGCTCGTTCGCTTCCAATGTTAGAAAAGATACTAATATTTAGAGAATGATAACTCAAATGTAATTCAAAGCCAAATAATTGTCAGAAACGGTACAAAACAGTGAATATTTAATTCTGTAATCATTGAATACCGGTTTAAATATGATTTTATAGCGTCTATAAGTCTTATCATCAAAACATATTCCATTCAAATTCAATCATTCATTTGTAATTAGAGATGTTTNGCCAATCGGGAAGCGTTTTAAGGATTCTTCGCACGAACCCGTTATTTGAGAAGTTTTCCCTCTTTTGAAAGCAATAATCCCTTTGTTTCAAAGCCTTCAGTGTTTCTGAAAGTAAACTGTCGTTCAGTTTGTGTTTTTGTCGCCGTTTTCGACAAACCTTTCAGCGGCTTCTTTGGCACCGGTTTTCGGAACCTCAGATCTCCAACCTATAGATGTGTTGATCACATAATTAATCAAATTTAAGTACTTTATTAGTTTTGTATGACCGGAGGCTCGGCGTACGGAATGCCGAAGAAGCAGTCGACGCTTTTGCCAAACCGCGTGACAGTCGTTCCCACGATTTTGCCAATCTTCGTCTCAATGACTCGCGTTTTGTTGGACTCGTAGTAAATGATAATCAGAAACGTCATAAAAGTGGTCATCATTATGAAGATGGCAAAGAAGAGCGACAGATTGATCCGCTTTTTCGACGTCTTCGTCATTCGCGAATGACTCGCGTTTTGTTGGACTCGTAGTAAATGATAATCAGAAACGTCATAAAAGTGGTCATCATTATGAAGATGGCAAAGAAGAGCGACAGATTGATCCGCTTTTTCGACGTCTTCGTCATTCGCGAACATTTTCGACGCATTTCTCAACACTTTTAATGACATCGTGTCTAATGTTTGAACAAATGCTTCATTTGAAAGCAAACATAGCTTTAGTGCTAATTTGTACTCAAAATGTTTGAACAGATCTGTGAGTGCAGTGGAAAAGGTGTTGTGATTGAGTTCGTGGTGACAGAGAAGTCTTCGCCACAATCTGTACTCCAGAGGAAAGAGTTGTCAAAGTTTTTTGTGAATGAATTTGTGTTCATTTGAATGCAATGTTTGTTGCAATGAAGAGACGATCCCTCAGTTGTGTTCATATCATGTGAACAGACCTTTAAATCGAGAGATTTGTTGTCAAAACAAACATCTCTTCCATGAGTTGGCCATCAATTCACGCATAGATCACAACATTTCCGCAGTTATGGACGCAATGGTGGACATCGGCGAAGACCTCTTGAAGGGTCCCATCATGACTCGCGTTTTGTTGGACTCGTAGTAAATGATAATCAGAAACGTCATAAAAGTGGTCATCATTATGAAGATGGCAAAGAAGAGCGACAGATTGATCCGCTTTTTCGACGTCTTCGTCATTCGCGAGCATTTTCGACGCATTTCTCAACACTTTTAATGATATCGTGTCTAATGTTTGAACAAATGCTTCATTTGAATGCAAACATAGCTTTAGTGCTAATTTGTACTCAAAATGTTTGAACAGATCTGCTGTGTGTGAGTGCAGTGGAAAAGGCTGTTGTGATTGAGTTCGTGGTGACAGAGAAGTCTTCGCCACAATCTGTACTCCGGTTTCAGTGCAGAGAAGAGGAAAGAGTTGTCAAACTTTTTTGTCAATCAATTTGTGTTCATTTGAATGCAATGTTTGTTGCAATGAAGAGACGATCCCTCAGTTGTGTTCATATCATGTGAACAGACCTTTAAATCCAGAGATTTGTTGTCAAAACAAACATCTCTTCCATGAGTTGGCCATCAATTCACGCATAGATCACAACATTTCCGCAGTTATGGACGCAATGGTGGACATCGGCGAAGACCTCTTGAAGGGTCCCATCATGTCGTTGGACCAGGAGTTGGATCAACTCATTGATGGCAACACTAGTCGTCTGAAGAACGAGCCGATGGACGCATCGCAGCAACTCTTGGACCCAATGGTCGGCCAAGAGATGAATAGTGCGGTCAACACGAGAAGCAATCGGAACAAGAGATGCGAAGACAATGTGTGCGATGAGAGGAAAGAGATCTCGAATCTGAAGACAAAAGTGGAGAAAATGCGAAACGAGTTAACGGTTGTCAACAGAAGCAAGAATTGCGTCAAACAGAAGAACCAGAAGATAACGCAACTGAAGAACGAGAACGAGATCCTCAAGAATGACCTCTTGGTGGCCAACAAGATGGTCGACGTGTTGCTGAAGTTCCGGACGTATGTCACGGAGAGGACGTTGGAGGAGACGCAATGGCAGGCCTTGGAGTCGGAATACAGGAGTGTTTTGGACGAGAAGTCGGCCGTCGATCGACTCAACGAACGAATTAAAGCCAAAAACGAAAAGCAACTGAAATTCAAACTCCGAGTCAACAGTCGAGTGAACAAAACGAAGACCGAGTCCGTGGAGCGCAAGAGTCGCGGGTCTGGGATGTCGTGTTCGTGGCCGGGCTGTTCATACGAAGCCAAACGCACGAAACTGCTGACCGAACACATAAACGCCGCGCACACCGGCAACAGAGTAGGTGTCGTCACTGTTGTGTCCATTTCTCTCATTGTCTTCACTCTTGTGTCCATTTGTTTCATTGCTTTCATTGCTTTCCTGTGTCTCAGCCGTACTCGTGTCCAATGGCCGACTGTAACAAATCGTTTGCGCGATCGTAAGTTATCACAAGTAATCAAACTCTGACCTCCAATACAGTGGACATTCACACTCTCTTAGGACCACTCTTGACGTCCACATTAAGTCCAGTCACTCGTCGGAGAAGCTCTTTGTGTGCAGTTGGGAGGGCTGTCAGGCGGCCCTCAAGACCAAACTCGGCCTCAAAATCCATCTCCAGGTGCGTCAACACTATCGCCGACTATACTGTAATGTCTTAACTCTTGTCCTCATTCCAGGCCCACAGCGGAGACAAGAAATTCGGGTCAGAATCACTTCCCTGCCATCAATATGTCTAACTACAGGTGCTCTAACTAACTAATATGTCTGTCGTACAGGTGCTCGTGGCCGGGCTGTGGATACAAGGGTCTGACGAAACAGCAGCTCGAGAATCACGTGCGTAACCACACCGGGGAGAAGCCGTTCGTGTGTTCGTGGCCCGGATGCGACTC